AAAAAAAAAAAAAAAAAAAAAACTGAGGCCTCTGACGGGGAGAAAGGAAACAAAGAATGAGGAAAAAGATTGACATGGGAATCCTTCTGATTGATTTGGAACCCAAACCTGAACATCCCTCCCACTAAAAAAAACCCTATGATTGAAGATGCTGGAAAGAAGTCCCACTACCTCCAAAGACTTACGATCACTCAAAGGACGACAAAACTGAGGTCACAAATATGACCTCTTTTACCCTGATGAACTGGCAACTTGGCAGGACCACGCAATGTGAAATGGTTTTCTATTTTCTTGTTTTGCTGAAAATATTTAAAACCAGCATCCTCCACTTGTTCGATGTATGTGACAAAATAATTTGATAGCGTACAACACTGTGTGTGCATGCCTGCACGTATACTGTTAGAAGTCGATGTTCATTGCCCAATTAACGAGCATATGTGGATTATGAACTCCTGTTTCACTTTATTGTGTTTCTTCTTTTAATCAATTTGAATATAATTTGCTGATGCAAGTTAGAGAACCAAGGTGTGAGACATAATTTAGATTCTTGACTATCAATTAATAGAAGTTGGTTCTACACCATTTATATTGCATTCATGATTCATGTATCAATAAAGGATGATTTGGTGCAGTTTTCAGCCGTCACTGTGCTGCGTAGAAGTCTCATTGTTCAATTTTCATCCTCCCAGCATTTAGTTAGTCTTAGCAATGGTTCTTGTTGGTTCTTTGCAACTGTCCTATCATCTGGGACCGTGGAAAAACCATTTGCTTGAAGAAAATCTTAAGGTACAGAGACCTTCTCCCCTGCCTCAAGACTATAAATATTTATTAGTCTCAGGTAAATATATGTGTTTCATTGTCTCTTTTTGTTCTTATCCAAAATTTAATTGTTCTTTTCAGTTTACCTCTCATAGCAATAACATACGGTTACAGAATGTAGCCAGTCCATCGTCTCTTTTAGTAAGTTCTTTAAACACTTCAGTTTAATTTTTAAAATCAGAACACAAATACCTTTTGTCCTTGGAGGTCATCAAGAATGCTTCCTTTATATCAAAATGGGATTGGATGATATCAATGTGTATTTGGCTGTGTATACTTGATGCATTGATTGCATATAGAAATTCTTGCCTTCAAGAGTAAATATTTGAGAATATTTCTTATTGCAGTTTCAGCAGAAGAACACTTGGAGTAGTCATTTATTTAGCTTGAAATACCCACCTAGTTACGTTGTGCCTTCTAGATACAATGCATTCAGGTGCCATTCGTCATTGATGACAAACCAACCACTGGATCCCTCTGGGATGAAGGCTGCTATAGTGGCGTTGACAAGGTGAGTTTTGTCTGGTTCATGTATCAATATTCAATGCCTCAAAAAATTTCCCAGCTTTGACTTATGTAAGATTGTTCTTAGTGTCATAGGGAGAATAAAGATATTATCTTTATCCCTGTTTTCACGCCCATCCACTATTAACATCAAAGCTACCACATTCATTATAAAAAAATCAACCCATCTGGATGCAGTTTACGTCAGTTTATTATTTTGTTCCCAAATGTTGGTTTGCATTTCATTTGGCCCTGTTGTGAAAAATTTATGTTGGTTAATGGCTATAATATGAAGGAAATTTTCATTAGAACTTTAGATGGATACATAATTGCTTACACGGGTGTGTTGGATAAATGTATTACAATTTATCTCTAATCATGAGACAAGTTGAACAAAGGACAATATTAGAGCTTTGAGAAAATATTAAAATTGGGGATTTTGGATCAGCGGCATTTTCTAAAAAATACTTGTTTGAGTCTAGCATCTGTGAAAATATTCTTTACATCATCCTTCCTTTGAAGAATGCTTACACTATCTCCAGAAAACCGCTATTTCTTCGGGCTTCAAATGCCTGGCAAATTTTATTCTCTCATTCTTGGCTTTTTGGTTTTTCACACATCTCTACCATCACACTAAAAAGAGATTATTGGAGGAGGCCACCATGGCTAGCGATTTTGCATTATTGGATTTATGAGAGGGAAATTGCAAAAATATTTCAAATTTGTATCTAGTGGTTATTAGGGGTATGCAAATTCTTGAATCTATATTTGACGGTCTTTAATATGCAACCCCATTATGTGGCCTCAATTTGAGGTTTATCTTGGACCTTGTGCTATGAACTATATTTTCCTTCTAGAGGTAAATTTTAACGCATAGTTAACCAACCACACTAATATTGTTGCAAATTAAGCAACTAGTAAGGCATCATATTTTTGTTGAAACATCGCAAGCACAGTTGATGGCCAGGACTAATATGGTGATTTGATTAAAAGCTAGGAACTTGTGTGCTTATATCATGAAAACTCAAATAGAAAGTAGCCATTAATTTAGGAAGAAAATTTGTAGTTTAACCTCATATTTTTTTACTAATGAAATTAAGATGATTGAGCACTTTAGTTTTTCATGGCGTTACCATAATTTTAATGGTACATTCGTTATCACTGTTCTACTGGTGTTGATTGACAATTTGCCATTTTTTTTTTTACTAGTATAAGGTATTTATTTCAATTTAGTTAGCGATATTTATGGGCATATAATCTTAAAGCTAAATATATATTTTGTTCCTGAATGTATGTGCTGTTTTCTATTTGTTTCTTCAATCTTCTAAAAAAAGTTTGAATGCTATCCTTTATATATTAAGTTTTATCACTCAGTTCCTTCTTGTAGTACACGTTAAAAGAATGGCTCCAGTAAAATGTTGTGGGTTGTGGTATGTGAAGTGGATAATCTTTTTTCTTTTTATATGTGGGGGAGTTCAATCAATAAAATTAAAGCATAGGGCAGTTTCATTTCAACTTGGTTAATAAAATATATTTTAATGTTCAATTATGACTTCTTTAGTAGATTTCAAGGTTTAGTGAGTCAGTAATGACTTGATAAAAAACCTTATCTTATGGTGGATGAAACTAAAATTTTGGAAAGGCTAGGGACAAAATTGAAGTGTGGCACAAACATATAAAGCACATAACAGTATATATTTAGTTTAATCTTAATTGAGATGTTCACTCTGGCATTTGCCTTGTAGACTCTAGAAATTAATTTAAATACATTTTTCATCTTTGAGTAATTAATATATTTCCATTGTGGCAAAATATCCGTCTCTTATATCATTTATTTTAGTTTCTACATGAGCTTGAAGATTGAAATTGATAGAATTTGAGCTCTACTGGTTTTTCACATTTGATCACATAACGCAGGTTTTGTAATGTATTAGGTGGTTGTCCTCCTCCAGTTGTTAAGATGGTTCCTGCAGTTAGTATTATGATATTTGCTGTATGGGGTCTTGGACCATTTTTGCGTTATACAAGAAGCCTACTCCATGTATGTTGACTTAACTTTTGTCTCTAATGTTGCATTGGCATTGTTTGCTCATTTTTTCTCTTTAATTGTATTCTACTGTTTTCACATTGTCTGATTAATTTTCCTGCAGAGTGATAGTAACTGGAAGAAAAGCCAGACATATAAAGTCATGACCTTGTATCTTCAACCATTATTGCTATGGACTGGAGCAACACTTATTTGCAGGTCCGTGATATATATTATTTTATATGTTGAGACGTGGACTATTCTTCTCAGTCGTACATTCAGAGATATTTTTCTCGCTAATTTAGTTTAATATTCCTGATCTTGCTTTTGCAGAGCTTTAGATCCAGTAGTTTTACCTACAGAGTCTAGCCAAGTTGTGAAGCAACGGGTGTTGAATTTTGTTAGGTCATTGTCCACTGTACTGGCCTTTGCGTATTGCTTATCTAGGTGAGTATATGAGATCGCGCCGTTTATAATGCTCAATAAGTTTACCTCTATGGTAAAGAAATCTACCATAGCTATGAACAAGATAATCTAGCCAGCAAGGATATGTTACCCTTACATGAGGCCTTTCGTTATGAATGTTAAAATACTTTAAATTCAATTTTATTAACACTTGCTTTCCTTTTCTTTTTTTTGGTTGATTGTGTAGCATGATTCAACAAGCACAGAAATTCTTCTCAGAGACTAGTGAATCCAGTGATGCGAGAAATGTATGTACAGTGTAACATCACATTTTTAGTCTATGCTTAATAGATATCATGTTATTAGGTTTCTGATGGTTAATGAACGTTTCATGTGTAGATCATTTTATGATGACTTTGTTGTAAGCTCTGAGTTGTATGGTATGTGACATTATACTTGAAGCAAGGCACCATTTGATTATCTTTTCCACGTTTCTTGTATGATGCAATTCAGCACAAGCTATAGCTGATACATGACTATATTGCTTACTTTTATTTTGAAGACAATTTGAGTGGCATCCATTATCTTATTTATCTCAATATCAGAAAGAAATTGTTCAAATAGCTTTGCATTCCTGAAATTACATACTTCAAGTACACACAATATATAGAGCTGGTGCTTTTCAGATAAACTTCGCGTTAATGTCATACTATATTGGTTTCTGTATTCTTTGTGATGCAATTCTCCCAGGAATTCTTGTTTCATGCTTTTTTTAAAACCATGGAAATGTGATATAAGTTTTCTGCTTATGTGTAGATGGGCTTTCAATTTGCTTGGAAAGCTGTGTACTCTGCAGTATGGGTTGCTGCTCTCTCATTGTTCATGGAGCTGTTAGGCTTTTCAACCCAAAAATGGCTTACAGCTGGAGGTCTTGGGACTGTGTTGCTGACATTAGCTGGCCGCGAGGTGCTTTTCAATTATTATGGTTTGTGTTTTCTGTTTCCTTGAAGTTTATTTTAACTAATTTTAGATTTTCTCTCGCTGTTCCTAGATTTTCACCAACTTTCTCTCAAGTGTAATGATTCATGCAACCCGTCCTTTCGTTGTAAATGAGTGGATCCAAACGAGGATCGAGGGCTATGAAGTTTCTGGAACTGTTGAGGTTTGATGTTTCTATTGAACATGTACCCTAAAATGTTGATGTCAAACAAGTAATTTGGCGAACTCTAGTCATCAACTTACACCAATGTCTTAATTTAGAAGTTTTAGCGTATAGTTAGAAACATGTCTTATACGAACACGTTAGACATTTACTTCCATTTCAATCAACTGCAGCATGTAGGGTGGTGGTCGCCAACGATCATTAGAGGTGAAGATCGTGAAGCAGTTCACATACCAAACCATAAATTTACCATGAATGTCGTGAGAAATCTCAGCCAAAAAACTCACTGGCGGATTAAAACCCACCTAGCCATCAGCCATTTGGATGTCAGTAAAATCAATGTGAGAACATTTTATTTTGATCTTTTTATATGAATGTATGTATGTACGTACGTATGGTCGAATATTGTATGGTGATCGTATGTTTATCTCTCTGCAGAATATTGTCGCAGACATGCGGAAAGTCTTGGCAAAGAACCCTCAAGTTGAACAACAGAGATTGCATAGAAGAGTTTTTTTGGAAAACGTGAATCCTGAAAATCAGGCCCTTTTGGTCAGTATTAGACATTATGGCTTGAATACTATTTTTCTTTCTGAAATTTTCAATTTTTTCCTTAATGTTTGAATAATTTAAATAACCTATAACATTATAGTTATAGGTTTTGTGATGGTTGTCGAGACAAACCGATAGGATTACGCATCATTTTTTAGAAAACGTCATAAATCCTCGTTCGTTTAAATCCTTGTTGGTCATAAATCCTAATTGACTTTTGTCCTATTTTTGTTAGATTTTGATATCTTGCTTTGTCAAGACTTCACATTTTGAAGAATACCTTTGTGTGAAGGTAAATTGAACTTTTCTGTTCTTTTTTTCTATATACTTTTCATTCTTCCAAAAGAAGTTTCAGCAATTCCATTGATCCATTTTATTGGTTTGGAGCTTGTCTGAATACATTCGAGTTCTGTGTCGTTTGTTTTCGATTAACTTGTGATCTGATGAATCAGGAAGCTATATTTTTGGATCTTCTTAGAGTCATTAGACATCACCGAGCTCGACTTGCGACACCAATCCGCACAGTGCAGAAGATGCATAGTGATTCAGACTTGGAAAGCGTTCCATTTTCTGATTCAATATTTGGTCATGGTGGTGCGACTTTGAATCGTCGCATGCTGATGATTGAACCCCCCTACAAAGTTTATGGAGATGATCGAAAGCAAAGCCATAGTAGGACATCACGCACAACTGGAGAACAAAACGGTAAGCCCATTGCACGGTCATCAGGTGACAACAAGGCAGCTAAAGAGACAACACCATCGGAAAGAAAGACGGAAGTAAAGCCTGGAGAAGGACGAGACTCCGATGCAAAAATACATTCCAAAGTTCCGATGTCGACCTCTGAAGATAAACCAAGCAGTGAATCGAAACATAAATCATCATCAAGGTCTGTGTCGAGTACGAATGGTATCGCTGATATGCCAACTTCTGATGCCAAAACAACTCCATCAGATGCTGATAATTCAATGCAAGATTCTGGCTCCTCCAAGAAATCCAAAAATAGCTCAGGGAGTAACAACAAGCAGAACTACAAGCCTATCCATTCTTCTGTTTCCTTTCAGGAAGATGTCAAGAAACCAGAAGGAACTACTTCATCAGCTTCACAGCCAAGGATAGAAGGTGATCAGACGACGAATCCATCAACAACAAAGCCCGGCGTAGAAGAGAATATAATCCTCGGCGTTGCTTTGGATGGCTCTAAGAGAACACTCCCTATCGAGGACGACACGCCATCTTCCCCTCAAACGACGTTGGGAGCAAAAGATTTGGCTGCTGCATCCCTGAATGGGAACGGGGCGACTGGAGCAACAACTCCCGACAAGGAAACGAAACGGCTGTCTCCTCCTACCACATCTTCTATTGAATAATGAGACTAGTTTGATTGTTGAGTAAACAACTTTTATGACCGAGAAGTTCGGGGTGAGGCCCCGCCCCGTGAAGCCTGCATCTTCTCGGTGCTGCAACGAGTACCGTAAACGGAATTAGTGTAGAGCAGGAATGTATATTTGTATAATTTTTGACTCTTTTCAGTGAATTCTGAAACAAGAACAAGGTGATCACTTCCCGGAGCAGAGGCCATTGATGAGTTTTCTTGATATAGAAGCTTTCTTTCTGTATATAAAACCTGATCTACAAATAAGTGTGGGTTATATAATTATATAATTATATAATTTGCCCTTGGTTCAAATTTGGTATTCTAATTTTTAAAGTATTGTCATTTATGGATATTTTTATTAATTTAATTATAAATTTAGAATTACTTTTAATTAGTAATAAAAATAATTTTCCATATTTAACTTTTGTTTCTTTCGAATTAAGCTCAAATATTCAATGCTTCCTTAAAAATGATAATTTATTATGTAGATAAAGCTTTGGAAGCCAAAGAACAATAATAATAAATAAATAAATAAATTGGTACAATATCCACGGTTAGTTTTAAAATTAAATACACTATTTTTATTTAAATCACTCTTAAAAATAATTTTTAATTATTTTAAATCTAATTTTAAAAAATAGATATTAAAATTGATTGCAAATTTTAATTAAAAATTTGAAAATAAGTAAAATTTATTTTTATTAAAAAATTTGAATAAATGTGATACGTGAGGAATCACCGGAAGTAAGATTCAGATTACCTTGTTGATCGAATATCTCAAGGCAAGAACATTGTTTGAGATTCGAATCACTTCACAAGCAAGATCGATCATGTTTACTTTGAATGATTTTTGTTGGTCAAATATCTGAACGCAAGAACACTTGTTTGAGATTCGAATAACTTCACAAGTAAGATTGATCATGTCGAGTTTGTATGTACATAGAATTGCAAAGAAACTTATTCAGCTAAAGAGAAGCACAAATGCTTCATTTACCGTATTTTTCAAATTTACTTACAAATATAAAATGAAAGGCATTCTAAGAGCTGTAACCTTCCTATTTTGTGACCATGATTAACCATTATGTAATTGTAACCTAAAATAAATAAAAGATCTTAAAATAAAATACAATAACTCTAAATTGTAATCCACACAAAATTTATAACAATCAAACTTCATTCCTCTTCAATGGGACACGAATTGCAACATCTTTCGATTGAAGTAAGAAAGAATGTTTGTAATTTTATCCCTAAAATAAATTGTAACATCATCATTATTATTATTATTATTAACCGGGAACACTCTCCAAGTAGCTGGGAAGCCGCTAATTTTGTTGGTTCGAAAAAAAAAAAGGCACCAAAATGTGGAGAGAAGGGAACGTTGGCCTTGAGAGAGAGAGAGGGGGCAAATCATTTTGTACGAAAAAGGTGGGAAAAGGCATTTTTATGGAGAATCTTCCATGGAACTACGCACAGCATTGATCGGTAATCCATTCTCGCTTGCAATCCAACAATGGATATTCAATTTTATATACATCCTCTTTCAATTCCCCTTTTCTTTCTAGACCGGAAGACATTCTTGTAAGCTAAGCAATCGCAGCCCAATCGCCACCGTGTTCCGTCTCCTTACCGTTGCTTTCTTTTCCCGGCGGTGCTGGTGGGTCGGGGGTATTTTCGAGGGAGGTCCGACCAAGCCTCTGCCTGATCGCTTCACCGTCATCTCAATCCTCCCTTCGATTCTTTTAACTCTTCCAAAACTGGTGGGTATATGTAATTTGTTGCTTATCATCTTTTAATTTCTTCGTTTTCGAGGCTTTTGTTATGTATTTCTCGATCATATCCGGAAACCCTAGTTTTTCGTCTTTTGCTTGCGATTCCCTTTTGCCCCCTTCTGTGTCTTGATTTTCGTCCTTCTTTTGATTTCTTTTGTTTTCTGATCGATGATGCTTGTCTCAATTTTAGATGTTTTTCGCTTGTATAATCATCCATATTTCGCCTTTGTTCGACTCGAAAAATTATGATTACTCTGCCGCGTCATTTGTTGTGGACCCTTTGGGTTGCTCCATGGCTATGTTCGTCTATTACATTTTTGCAGCTCTATCGAGGGACGTTGATTTGGTAACATACATGCTTGGGAACTTGATTCTTCCTGTTCAGTTTAAACATTTCAGTGACCACTTTTCATTCTTCCTGGATTACCTTTGTTTGAAGCAAAATGAAATTTGCATTACGAAATAATCAAATTCTATCATGTTTGTTTGCCATATTATGGACAATATTTTTTGTGAATCAGAATAGAAACGCTGCTATTTGTACGTAAGATTATAGGCTAGGATGAAATGTTAGAGAAAAAATTTGGATGGAAGTCATCACTTCAGAGATGGGTTAACTGACATGTTGAATCTCGTGAGATGCTTATATACCCTGAATTATGATTTTGTTAATTGCTGCTTATGCTCTGTCTTTACAAATAATAGACTCGAGGTTGTCGATCAACATGCACAAATCAATTGAAGAACTAGGTAAAAATGAAAATAGCAGGAATGAAGCATGTGAGAACAATGAATATGCAAGGCTAGTCATAGCTAATGAAGCAGGTCCTTTGGAATCAGAGATTCTACAGCCTCAAGATAAACTGAAAAGCAAATCACCCTTGAAGCGGTGGATCAAAATTTCACTATGGTGCATTGTTAGTATTGTATTTCTTCTTGTTTTCTTCAAGTGGGGAGTGCCATTTCTTTTTGAGAAGGTAATTCCCATTAATTACATCACCATTTTTTCTGTTTATAAGCTATCTTTCAGCTGAACTGTAGAAAATTTAACCTGTCCCTGTTATTTATTTTGAGAACTTTTTATTTTCTTTTTCATTTCTGCTGCTCATAGTACAGATATGCTTGCAAACCTATGCAACTAACTTCGATTTAATAATGAGTTTGAATGTGGAATAATCATATCTGCAACTTTTTTTCTTTTCTGTTAAATTTCTTTATAATATTCGTATCTGCAAATCTTAATGTTGGTTCGTGATAAGGGCATTCTTACTGGAAAAAGAAAGTAATTAGTAAATGTTTGCATCAGCTGTAAAGCATCAAAGCATCTTAGAGAATGCGAGTTTGGGGAGTGGGAGGATGAGGTTTTCCTCCTCCCTTGCATGTTTCTTTGTTCTACAAAATCTTTCCTTTCTATAAAGGAATCTGCTACTACATAAATGTTGATACAGAATCATTTTAATTTTAATAAAAAAGTAACCAAGAGTGTAGTAAAATCTGCATATAGTGCATTGCTAAAGAGGATTTTGTGGTTTGTGTTCTTTTAGTATTGTTGTAGGCACAAAATTAATATGCTTTGAAATGGGACATCATCTTGATTATTGTCTGTATTATTGGGAGAACTTCAGTACTTGTTCTACAGTGGTCTCTAGAGCTTAAACTATGCTGATTGCAAATGCATGACCAAAATTATGTGATAAGGCAAAAAATTTGATGCAGAGAAGCAGTGATGAGCCGAGTGGTATCTTATTGTGACTTACGAATAAACCTACCGAATAATATTGTTCATTTGTCAATTAGAATACACATGACCTTTTTATGGTATTTTTAGTGTGTTTTGCTTTAAAAGTGTTCTATTGAATCTCTCACTCTCCGACGTCTGTACTTCCTATGATTTATTTGACCTCTATTTTTGCTCCCTGAGTTCATTTCAGGTCATCATCCCAATCATGAAGTGGGAAGCTACTGCCTTTCGTCGACCTATGCTTGCACTAATGCTTATTGCTTCTCTGGCATCCTTTCCCGTATTTTTTATTCCCTCTGGCCCTTCAATGTGGTTGGCTGGGATGATTTTTGGCTATGGCCTTGGGTTTGTTATAATAATGGTTGGAACAACTATTGGGATGGTCCTGCCATATTTAATTGGATTAATTTTCCGTGACCGCATTCATGTAAGACCTCTATCAGTTTTTTTTTTTTTCAAATTATCGTGGCAGATAACTGGACCTATACTTCACAATCTTTCATTTGGTTCTCTGATCTCTGTATATTCATTATTGTGCAGCTATGGTTAATGAGATGGCCTCGAAAAGCAGAAGTACTCAGGCTTGCTGGGGAAGGGAGCTGGTTTCGTCAGTTTCAAGTTGTTGCACTCTTCAGGGTTTCACCATTTCCCTACACTATTTTCAATTATGCAATTGTGGTAACAAGTATGAGATTTTGGCCCTATTTGTGCGGGTCCGTTGCAGGAATGATACCAGAGGCTTTCATTTACATTTACAGGTTTCTTTCTTAGTCCCTCGAACGACTTACTAATAATCGAAAAGAAAAGTTAATATGCTGGTGTGCATGAATATATAGAAAATAGGCCATTTTTTTTAGATTTACATGAATATTTTCAGGAATTGTGTTTCTGTCACTTCATATGAAACTAGAACATGTCTTAATTTTCTTAGATCATTCATATGAAACAGGAAGAATCTCTATCGAGATAACGATAATGATGGGGTGCATTTTATGGTTAATTCATAGATATTGCTATAACTGGAGTTCTTTAGATGGTAATGTAAGCTATCTCTAGATGGGACGTTCCGATTATTCAAGAAAACGAGAACTGTAAACAATGTTAACGTTTATCTAGTATTAATTCTTACTGCCATAATGCTTGTGCGGATGTAACCTTGTTATGCATAATCTGATATTTCCTTTCCCTAGACTTCTTTGCACTCGTTAACGTCGGCTAAACATATCAGCTTTACTTATATGCAGTGGTAGGCTAATGAGGACACTAGCAGATGTTCAATATGGAAAACATCGGCTCACGACTGTAGAGATTGTGTATAACGTCATCTCCTTCATCATCGCGATCGTCACTATTATTATTTTCACTGTTTATGCAAAAAAGATGCTGAACAACCTTCAAATGGAAGAAGATAATAGAAAGTATTCTGCCTCCCACCATGGTAGTTTCGAGGTAGAGAGTCTTTCGCACGAAAGGTACAAGTAGTTTGGTTTACTATCTAGATTGTCATTAGTGTAGGTTAGTTCCTGTAAAATTAATAATTAACCCAGACCATTCTGAATACACCACTGAATTAAGTTGTTCTTTAATGATTTTCAGGTTTACTTTATAAAAAAAAAAAAAAATTGTGATGATTTCTAAAGTAGTTCGAAAAATACGATAGCTGTTGGCTGGTCTGGAAA